CTTGACGAGGAGAGACCCATCGTTGCATCTAGATGGCAGCTTGCTAGCTTTTAAGATCCCAGTCACTACTTGCCAAAGTAGGAGGTGGAACAATGTTCTGTATAGTATGTTATGCCAATTGAGCTTGAGGGACAAAATAATGTTTAACAGGAGAATGATATTGAAAAAGAAGCATTGCCTGACTGATTGTAGTAAGTCAGAAAAAAATGAGGTACTGTATCAAAGTTTGTGAAGAAACAGTATCTTAGGTTAAAATATTAATACATCTTGGGCTCTTAGCAGTCTTAGAACTATTAACACTTTTGAGGCGAAAACATCCTTCACGCATTGTGACTGTATCCTAAGAGACGTGAAAATGATCATAGGGGCATTGTATCTTACTGTAAAGTTGATTTGGGGAGAAAAGGAAGGTAGGCAGAAAGGAAACCTTCTCCAATCCCTACCATCTCCTCCCAACCATCCCCACTACCAAGGGAAAAATTCCCAACCCAACCCACTGCCATCGAGTGGATTCTGACTCATAATGACCCCCATTGGATTTTCCAGGTGGCGAATATTTAGGGAAGTAAATTGCCCAGTTTTCCTTCCACAGAATGTCTGGTGGGTTTGAACCACCAACCTTTTGGTTAGCAGTCAAATGCCTCAGATACTGTGCCACCAGAGCTCCTTACCAAGGGAAAAAGTTACTTTCATTTTAACCGGTTGGTTTTTTGGGCGTTCTTTTTCGGGAAAAAAAAAAAAAAAACCCTAAACTAAACAGTAGTTCCCTAACTTAGATTGGAAAGCTAAATCAAAAGAGAGTTTTGACTTTCATGAAATGTCTGGGGACATAACAGGCATGTTGGGAAATGGTTGCTAGGCAGAGACGAGGTCTAGAAAGTGTTGGCACTTTAAGCAATGAGGAGAAGCACTACTGTCAAATTTATTTATAAATAAATTTTACTGTCAAATTTAAAATATTTATTAAGCCCCCACCACATGAAGCATGGGAGCTCTGTGGTAGCATAGTGCTTAAGGCTAACCAGAAGGCTGGCGGTTCAAACCCACCAGCCACTCCTCAGAAGGAAGGTTGGGCAATCTACTTCCATAGTGATACTGCCTCAGAAACCCA